CACAGTCTAAACTTTAGATGTACCATTTATAGGAGCATTTGTAATTGCAGGTCTTAAATTTTGATATCCCACTTTTCTTAGCGTTGAATTTCCAAAGCTTTCTTCTTTCTTTAAATAAAATTTGCCAATCAAGTATTTATGGAAATTTGACTTTTAAAATCATTTACTGAATAGAACGCTTACTAAATCCAGCTTTGAGATCATCATATTGGTAGGCAAACCACAATAATTTTACCAAATTCAACCTGATTCCAGCAACTCAGTTTTGTTGCAGTCTCCACTGACTCCCTGTCAGGTTATCATGTTTTTGCTTTAAAACTCAAATGAGCATAAATAAAAAGTTCTAATTCACACAAAGGGTTTTTGAAAAATATAATTTAGTAATTTGCTCTTTTACTAGCATGAATTAAACCCACATTTTGTACCTTCTTAGGCTATTTTAAAAATCACCTGAAATTCATGTCATGTAACTGTTGACATAACATCAGTGCAAAAAAGATACGAGTCAAACTTCACAGCATAGTGTGTGCCTGATTAGTGTTTTTAATAAAATGCAAGTAGGCTGTATGCTATATCAGCAGTTATAAATCATTTAAAAGTTCATAATATTATATGTTTCATTTGACCAAACTGCTCTGTACATACTGCATGAATCCACAACAAAAGATATATATTAAAATCTGAAAAAATGTACTTGCTGCTATGTTATAAATAGAATATTAACAATTGCTTAAACAGTACATATGAAATGCAGCTCAAAGTTGCAACTCTGTCACAAACACAGAAGAAAAATAATGAATTCACTAAACTTGACCAAGGGGAAAAAATAATATCAGACAGGAATGTAAACTAAACATCAAAGTGTTAAAAAAGCTTACTAAAATGACAGTTGGCTAAAACCCATTTACAACATCTTAGTGTTCATTCCCCAAACCCTGAACTGCTTGGTAATTACATCATAAGATCTATTACAACCATCTGCTCCCCTTTTGTAGCGTATGGTTAGGGCTGGTCCTCCCGATGTAGGGACTTTTCTTTTGAAGCTTTAAGTATCTGAAAAAATAAGGGGAAATCTATATTAAAGGACCAACCAAAACACAACTTACTCTAAAACAACAACAAAAAAAGTCTTCAATGCTAAAAAATGCAACTTTGTATCAGGCTAGTTAATTTGAGAAAGCTATAATTTCTAGGAGCTCTCATAATAAATATACACAAAGTTGCTGTATAAAGTGGGAAATACAAACTTTTAAATATTTAGGCAGTAAATTTTTTATTACCATATGGCACTTCATTTACCTTGTAAGGGAAATTTAGGCCATTTCACAAATACATTAAAGCAGTTTTTTGTTTTGGTGGGTTTTGGTGGTGGCTTTCAGGGATTTTTGTGTTGGTTTTTTTTTTTCTTTTTTCTTAAAGTCAAAGACATTTGGAAAAGAGGAGCCAGGGAATGAGGAAGGGTCAAAGGTCTAAAGTGGAAACTTCTCTACACATAAGGGATTTAGCAGTTGGTAAAATAAATGTAGGGTTATAAAAATGTCAAGGATACAAGGTGAAGGGGTGGGAGTGGAACAACCTGTAGGCATTTTAAATCTGAACACATACAAGAGGGATCAAAATCCAAATACAAAGAACAATGGTATGCCAAAACCCACAACATGTCTCCCTTAAAGTATGTCTCCAACAAGTACCACTCTATCATAACCACTGCAATTTATGTGCCAACGTAAAACAGGATTGGCCAAAAAACCCCTAAATGAGTAATATTTCAAACTGGCCTATAATACTACTCAAGTGCATCAATTGACAAAAATGAAGACTATAACTGCAGTCACAGTAGCCTATACCTGGAAAAGAATACTGGCAATAACTTTAGAAGTAAACTCAGAGAACTGGAAAACAGTATTTACAGATACCTAAAGATGTATGTTCCTAGTATTGCTTTTTTTTTGTGATATGCCCTGAAGTCAGCAAGATTTTGACTTATACTCTAGCATATTCAAGTTACACACCCAATCCCTTCACTGGTGACGTAAGAATGTTCCTCCCAGCTAAATTCAACCTCTGAACTACCTCTTTCCAAAACAATTAAGTTCCTATGTTTCAGTTAAATATCGAACAACTGTTCCCAACCTGATACAAACTGGTGCCACCATGCTTCAAATGTAGTTGTCTGAATTTATACTACTGAAGAATAAGGACTCTATAGTGACACTTCCAAATTTCTTTTAAACTGCCTGAAGTTATGTTTGTTACACAAAGAGCACATATGTGTATAAAAGCGTTCTTCATTCAGAAGAGAGATCTTGACTGTCTCTAGTACAATGAAATTCAATATTAGTATTGTTGAAAGAACAGGAAATATTAGCTTTGAATACCTGATGAAGTAAAATCTATTGAACAAAGACAAAAGACTTCTAACAACAAAATTCCCCTACTGAATCCTCTACTGCAAATAACATAGGAAAACAAAATCGCGGGCAAACATGAATGTCATACTCTAAGAGGAAAAATGAGAATAATGGTGCTTGCAAACTGAAATATTCACATACAAAAAAGGCAGGTAAACATACTGAATAGCAGGAAGAAATAATAATTTAATACTAATTAAATTTTTATTTATGGCCAGTAGTTTATTTCTGTTCCCTGTTTCTCAGTTTTCAGAGATGCCACTTCAATTCTACTGTATGTGCTAAAACAATAAGCTTTATAGAAAAAATATAAATAACAGCATTTCTGTTATTTCTGAACCTTTGGAGTGGTTCCCACATAACTGCATAAATTTCTAAAGATTTTTATGTATGCAGGGCCACTGCGGCAGATTTTGTGCGGATCAAATTATTTTCGTTTGCTACTCCTTAAACAAAGAACCACACGTATTACTACATCTAATAATTACTAGTGTCTTTAAGAACTGAATAAATACGTTTTGATTGATTCTCTCGCTTTCTCCCTGTGAAGGGAAAAAGAAAATAATTAATTCCTTTCTGTACTGTTGCTACTATTTGTTTCCACAAGATATGCCAGGATAGAACTAAGGTTAATCCTGTAATTTAAAAAGTGTGTTGCACTAGTTTTGAAAACAACAGCAGGTGAAAAAAAGAAAATCTAAAAGACCTTTTGAAAGGATCAGAAATACGTGCAGTGTCAAAGTTAAACAAGCGGTTTCTCATTCTAACAGTGTTTGAAAACAGTAAGGACTCTCAGTATTGCAATACGACAAAAGAAGAGTGGAAAACTAGGTTCAATTCCACCATCTTATTTGAAAAATACATCTGTAGTTAAAGGAGTGATTATCTCCTGTACTCTGCACTGGTGAGGCTGTACCTTGAATCCTGTGTTTAGTTTAGGGCCTCTCACAACAAGAAAGAAAATTAAGTGCAGGAGCGTGTCCAGAGAAGGGCATCAAAGCTAGTGAAGGGTCTGGAGCACTGTACAGAACACCTAAGATTTTTATTTTTTTTTTGGTGAAGGCAGGAAAATGAATTTACTACTGCAATTACAGCACAAAAAGTGATAGAAATATGATCAAAAAGCCTAAAAATTGAAGATTTCAAGTTGACACTTGGCTTATGAGTTTAAAATTAAACTAGTATGTGTAAGTCAAGAGATCATCTCAATATCCTCACATCAATACAAATGACATTGCACAGTGGAATTACTTACTGCTGGAATTTTCTAATAGTCCTATCAGGGTCTTTTTGTTATTTTAACTGTAAGCAGCACCATTTTCTGAGAGAAAACTTATTTTCTTCTTCTACAGTTCCAATTTAATGCACAACAAACCAAGTGACGACTACCATTGCTGAACTTCTTGCCCAAGCTGTCAATGGTAACTACTGTTTGTTAAGAATACATCATATTCATTATGAAACAAAACATTTTTAGGTAAGATGCCTATTAATTAATACCTCTGACTTCAAACATTTCAACACACCATGTGGTGGTTGTGATAAACAGGTTAGAAAGTCCTTGCAGACTCCACAGTTACATACTGATATGAGTATTTCAAACCACCTCTATTAAAGTTCAGCATATAAATTACAACATGAACTAAACCATGCCTACAATCTGTACTGAGCAGCCACAAAGGACTCATATGTTTTTTCATTGCTCTGGCTACTTCTGGCATGCCCAAGAACCAAATAGAAGTTTCCCTTTCTGCAAGCAAAACCAACCCCCTCCATAACTTCCTGGGCACCTTATAAAAGCTTCTGCAATGATTAACTAACCCAGGAAAGTGCTCGGGCTAATGAGAAAAGAAAACCCAGAAATACAGCTGTCAGGACTCTCAGCAGCTTCTTTGATCTAATGCACTGAGACACAACTCTTTGCTGTACTCAACACAACTACCTCGTTACAACAAACAAACTAGCAACTAGTAATAAGTAACTCCAAAACGCAGGCAAAATGTAACAATATGCAGTCTTCAAATTTAGAAGTCACTCAGCTACTCTAAAAATGGTTTTGGAAAAATCTATGTCTACTACTGTCAGGCACCAGATGGAAAAACTGGAAGTGTTCCTGTTCTTAAAATCAGTTACGCCAAGAAAAACGTGATGGCATGACAAAACAGTCCTGTTTCCAGAGCAGTGCCCAAAGAATGTGCCACAGTCAGACTCCAATAGATCCAACTGACACACAGAGAAGTAACACAATCACCACCCATGATCAGTTACCCTGAAAAGGAAGTACACACATATTTTGAGACCTGAAATTGTTCTATTTCCCTTTACAGCAAAACTATGCAACTCTGAAATAATTAAAAATTAAGTTTAAAACTAAAACTACTCACAGTTTTATTTGGAATGTTTTTGTGTAACCCAGTAACTACGACTAGCATTTATCCAGTACATTTATTGCTTAAAACCCAAGAAGCAACTTTGACAATAATGACAGCCCTTCATGTCTCTCCACAAAGTAATTTGTTTACAAATTCCCATGTAGTTACAGCTTCATTTTTTTAAGAAAAAAACCCCAAGCACTTAGGATTGACTTACCTACTCGATCATCCTTTGAATAATCCTCAGCTTGAACAGGTATTTCTGTAAATCAAAAATGTACAAACAATTCAAACCGGACTGTTCTCTAAATATTTACAGAAAATCTTCCCTCTGCCACCCCTTATGTTTAAAACAGTGACCTGTCAAGACTGTTGTGTAATACTACTTTTGCAGAACTGGGATGCAAATTTCTTCCTCAGCTGATTTTTTTTTCCAGGGCAAAGATTAATACTTAGGTAGGCCAATGAGTAAATTGCAGGATTGCACCGTTTCCAAATTGGTGCTTCAAAATTCTGAAATTCTACTATCCGAAGCACAAATCTCCCACATGCAACCACAGAATGGGCTTAGGAAACATTCATACACTCATGTTCCCACCTGTAATTGTGAAATACTTGATTTCAAAATTCAGTTATTTTTAATTCCATATATATGTTTAAATTTGACATATCACATGCCACTGAATTCTATTACTGCTAATAGACTGAAGGCTGCACACAGTCCCTATTCATGCATGGAGGGAGTGGGGCTCATCAGAAGAAAATTCACAATAGCCAGGATGCTGGCTGCAGACAATAAGAATTAAAGGGAAGGAAATATATTCTGTGACTTGAGAAAACCATAAATAAAGCGCTCAAAGCTGGGGAGGCATTCCATTTTGTTTGTTACATATATTATCTTTCCTGAGTATGCACTACTGACTGGCTGGTGAGAAACAGAGCATAGAAAAGAAATCTTCCAGCTTCATCATATGACCCAATACAGTCATTTTTATCAAAATAGGTTTTTCTGAACTAGTAGCACTCTCAACTACTGAGAAAAAAAGGAGTTATTCCATAATATTTATCAATTATGTTTTTTTAAGTAGCAAACTCATGCAAAACATAATATACAAACCTGATTCCTCTGGTTCAATGGCCACATCATCTTCTGTTTGTTTACTTTCTACTGTTACAAAGAAAATCAGTGTTAAAGTTATATACAGTACATTCACAATTTTGTTTTTGTTACCCAGCAGCCACACAATCGAATTAGCATCATACAAAAAGGAAGACTTAAACTATAGACCAACCAATTAGGTTAACTTAAGAGTAGGAAAAAAAGGTACTGAATGCACTGCCTGTCCAAAAGTTTAGCTCCACTTTGTTATAGACTTCTGTTCCTATCACACACACCAAAAGTGATTTTAGTTACTATTGTTGTCAGAGTGAAACAATTATATTTCCCCATTTAATTATATTAGAAGACATTTTAGATAGAAAATCTAAATGAATATAGTATCAAATCCTACATGCTGTGACCAGACTAAACTGCTTAGATCACTTGTCTCCAGCTGGGTGAATCAACACCATGTTTGAAAAAAACTTGCTTAATGACAATTTGATAGGACGAGAGCACATAGTCTCAGGTTGTGCCAGGGAGGTTGAAGCTGGACATCAGGAAGAATTTCTTCACATAGAGGGTGATGAGACATTGGAATGGACTTCCCAGGGAGGTGGTGGAGTCCCTGGAGGCTTTTAAAGAAAAACTGAATGTGGCACTTAGTGCTATGGCCTAGTTGATGTGGTGGTATTAGGTCATAGGTTGGACTCAATTACCTTAGAGGTCTTTTCCAACCTAATTGATTCTGTGATTCTGTCATTTTAAACTACTTAGAGCAAATTTTTAAACTGCATTTGACACAGCAGTCATTTAAAAATCCCCAATACCAATACAGCAAACAAAAATTTACAACTTAATCTGAACGGTAACATGGAAAATGAACATAGAGCTCCAATTTGAGGAATGGAGTAAGTACTTCATAAGATTGTCATGAAGGCCAAGTTCGAGATCCAAGGCCAAGTGCAAGGCCCTGCACCAGGGTCAGGGCAACCCCCAATATCAATACAGGCTGGGGGAAGAAAGAATTAAGCATGGCCCTGCAGAGAATGACTTGGGGATTCTGGTGGATAAAACACTGGACATGAGCCAACAGTGTGTGCTCGCAACCCAGCCAGCCAACCATATCCATGGTTGCATCAGAAGAGGTTTCTCATGAGAACACACCTGGAGTTCTGAATTAAGCTCTGGAGTTTTCAACACAAGACAGACATGGCCTTGTTAGAAAAGGTCCAGAGGAGGTTCACAAAGACAATCAGAGGAATGAAGCATCTCTTCTACAAAGACAGTCTGGAGAACAGAATGCTCCAGAGAGACCTTATTGTAGCCTTTTAATAAGGGATCTTTTAAGAAAGATGGAGAGAGACTTTTTACTGATCCCTGTAGCAACATGACAATGGGTAAAAGTTTAAAAGTGAAAGAAGGTAGATGAAGATTGGACATATAAAGAAATTTTTCATGATGAGAAACTGGTGCAGGCTGCCCAGAGCTGTAGTCGATGCCCCATCATTAGAAGTGTTTGAAGTCATGCTGGACAGAGCTTTGAGCAAGCTGACTTAATCAAATATGTCCCTGGCCATGGCAGTGGGGTTGAACCAGACAGTCTTTAGATGTCCATTCCAACCCAAACTGCTCTGTGATTCTATACAGCACATTTCTCTGCTTTGGTTTTTTTGGCTTGGTTTTTTTTTTGATACTATATTAACAAATATAAACAGGCTGAGGAAGTTAGGGCTGTTCAGCCTGGAGAAGATTGCATGGAGACCTCATTGCAACTTTTCAATATCTGAAGGGGCCTACAAGGGAGCCAGAGAGGGACTCTTTGTTAGGAACTGCAATGACAGGAAAAGGGCTAATGGGTTCAAATTGAAGGAGGGCAAGCTTAGGTTAGATAAAAGTTTTTTACTCTAAGGGTGGTAAGATGCTGGCACAGGTTGCCCAGGGAAGTGGTGGCTGCCCCAACCCTGGCAGTGTCCAAAGCCAGGTAGAACGAGGCCTTAAGTATCCTGGTCTAGTGGGGAGGTGTCCCTGACCATGGCAGGGTCTTTGGGACTAGATGATCTGTAAGCTCCATTCCAACCCCTAAAATTCTATGATTCTATGAAATATAAATGGAAGAAAAAATGTTTTCTCTCACAAACTATAAAAACTTGTAACTGAGAGATCTTTAGCAATATCAAAATCTTCATTAATTTCATCTATAAAAAAGTATAATAAGAAAAAGTATATAATGGGTTTGCTTTTTCTTTTCTACATCACATTTTAAAATGCATATTTCATCAAAACATTTTAAGATCACAATTACAACATATATACCTGGCTCTGTGGCTTCATTCACCTCCTCCTGAAGGTCCTCCACAGCTAAGAAAACATTCAATTCAGAGAAATAATGAGGTCAAGTCCTCATCTGAAAGAACTTACACACAGCACAAAAGAACACAGCCAGTACACAGACATGTTTACCTGTGAACAGTCAACTGCTATTAACAAACAGGAATTTTAATGTGAGGGAAAGAAAATACTTAAATTTGTTTCCCCAGTTTCACTGAACAACTGTTGTATTCATCAGGTAAGTATTTCAAAATTGAACCTTCTGAACAATTGTTGTTTGAATTACGACACAATGAGTATTAAAACTAAAATTTTAAACCCACTTCTTAATCTTTCTAAGTACAATCAAATACTCCCACTTTCACCATTTGCAGAATTGACTCCATCTGCTAGACTCGAAAGATGTAAACCTATAAACTTTTGAAGTACAAGTTTTTTTATTTGGATAAACATGCAATTCTTTGGTGAGTTCTGATTTCCTTCTTGAAGGACAATGAACAAGTTCTACAACTTAAATTATGGATTCCACCTCACTTGATCGTCCTCTTAAGATTGGTGACAAAACAGACACAATTTATTTACACCAGGGAATTTCTTTACTTCATTTTAAACTAAATGATTGTGGTTGTTTTGAATGAGCTGTCTTAGATGACTCTCAAAAGACCTCGGATTTCAAGACGACAAAGTGTACAGGACCCAGAGAGAGTACTGCAGACAATTTTTTTGATTTCTTCTGCTTATTAGACAAAGGCACCAGGAAAATGCCTGCACCAAAGCAGAGCTAGTATTTACAGCCTGCAGAATTTGAATAATCTTACACACTGGTTTAAAGGTTATGAGCAAGGCTCACAGCAGTCAGCAAGCAGGTTGAGTGTCTATGCTGAATTACAAGCATTTCTACTGCACATTAAAAGCTTCAGACACCCCATTTTGTGTCACTTCAGACCTTAAAGATGAATCCTCAAGGACAGCATACTAAAGGTGTCTCAGTTCATAGCTCAAAACCAAACTTTGTAATAACGCAGAGTGTGATGAACCTTTACTATAACTGGCAATATGTCACAACTGAAGGTAACACAGAATATGCATTTCAATACATCTAAATAGCAAAATCAAGTTAATGATTTTTATGCTAACTTGACTAAAATATTTCTGATTGTGAAAATAATATGTACTCCAATAACATTTATTGTAGAGGCATTTCCACTTCACATATGAAACAATGATTTTCTACTGTATTTCATACATATATAAATACATACAGCTGTTTGGATGTTTGTGGGAGTGTACACAATACCCTCCCAACATATACATACCCTCCCATACATATACACACATATATATGCATTTATATACCTGTATCTTGAGTCTCAGTCTGCTTTTCATGTTTTGGTTCTGAAAGAAAAACAAAGTTCCTGGGTGGTTGATACGCATGAAGTACCCTAACAAGTTGGTTGTTAAGCATCCAGTTAATTTCTTCAATGAAAAATGCAAATTCCTTAAAAAACTATCTAATTTGGGTACCTGAACAGATATATGAACCCTTGCTGGAGTTTGTAGTAGAAAATCTACACAAAAAATATACCAAATGTAACACTCATCTGAAAAACGTTATGTAAATAAGATTAAAAAAATAAAACCAACCACAAAAATACACCTTTATACTACTGTTTTATCTTATAAGGTACTAAGTCATGTCGCTCCCCTACATTCCTTAAAAAAAAGTTCTTGCAGAATATCCTTAAAAAATATCCAGAACTCTATTTCTTATGAAAAGATCAAACTTCCTTTCTTTCTTCAGTTTCCTTGCTACAAACTGTAGAAAACTCTTCATAAAACTACTGAAAGTTGTGTACAATAACTGAGTTCTTGAATTCCAAGTTATACGATCAATTTACACACTCCACTCTGGGCATATGCGCTAATTTCAACCAAAGAATTTTTAGCATTAGCAATAATGCAGTAATGTGATTACAGGAACTGCAATCCTATTAGAGCTGGTCACTCACTGAAATTTGTACCAATTCGTACAATGCAAGACTTGCAAAAGAACTCTGCTCAACAATCATCTTGGCAGTGCCCTCTTCGCTTTCTGAGAATTCTAGAAAGCACCAGGATTGGAGAAAATATTTGCCAGAAAAAGAGGAACACATCTGACAGAGATAGAATTGTGCTGATTTCACAGACATTTGCAGCTGGAGCTTTACAGTGAATTTTCTTGTCAAGGTGATTTGCAGTTTTGGAGCCTATGCCAAAACCACAAACTTTACATTTGAGAGAAACAAGTTCAGATCTCCACAATGGCCTCCATTCCATCCCTTCTTTGACTTCAGAAAACAGGTGCTAAAATCTCTCTTATCCACAGAGCAAATCTGTTTTACTTTAGATCCAACCAAAAGCATGTAAAAAGGTACAAGAAAGATGGGCCAGAAGACAATAGGGATGAAAAATAGTACAGCTGCTAAAATGGTGTCTAGCACATGATCATGAACTACAACTCCCATGCCCTGAAACTTCACAGACTGAACTCAGAAGGAAAACACGGTGTGACACAGAAAGGCAACCTCTCCTGACTGCTCTTTTTCTTCTACACTGCTCCAGGCTGGAGCTCTGAAATGAAATTGCTCTAAGAAGCACAGAGGACACATTGTGTTTCCCTCACAACCTGAATGTCTTCAAGGGACAACTTGAAAGCAAGGCAAAATTCTGTTGCATAAAGGTGAACTTCTATCAAAAGAAAAGCAATTATGCTGAATTGTGGGACCAAATGACTGCATAAAACAGCTGGCAACTTAATAGCCAAAAAATACATTTTTTACAGAATCCTGATCAGAGGATTTGAAAGAATAAAGAAAGAGTAGGGAAAAAAAAGTCTTGTTTATCTGATAGTAGTTCAAACTGTCATTGCAGCACACAGAGGCAACTGCACATGAAACTACTGCTTGATGAAGCACATGAATTAGTCATAAAATAGAGTGATTCAGTGTTATTGTGCCAGGGTGCCAGAAGAAACTGCAGAATATGAAATAGTTTTGGAATTGATTTTATGAAAATGATGCAAATGACTTCACCTCCCTGATCAACTTACTCATGTCACCACCACTACATATGAAGGAGCATGAAAAGATTGTAAGTTGCACTTCTTCATATCTAGGTGTGAGAAGTAAGAGAAGTGCTTCTTGATTAGAAAACGATTGTAAAAGAAGTATCTCCTGGAAAGGCAGGGAAAAAGCTAAAGGTCTATTGCTTTTCCATCCTATTGATGCTGACACATTTTGTCAAGGGCATCATAACGGAGCCAAATAACTATTTTCTGCAGACTGAGAAAGACATGGACTAAGGTCCAAATACACCTTTGGGCCAGTGAAAGCCTTTCAATAGGATTTTGACTTCTGCATCAGAGATGAATGTCAGAATTTCCCTCCTGATGACAAAGAATAAACCTCAAGCTTTTCTGTCGCAAATGTTTTGAAGTTAAGAATCCCTGGCCTTTGCTCAGGTTGCCTACACATGGGGAATAAACAAGAGTTCTTTAAAGGTATGCTACCTATTCTGAAATATGGCAGTCCCCAGAAGGCTATTGCAGCAGGAAAACTGTTTCAAGTCTGTGACTGCTATTCTTCTCACTTACTTTTTCATTTAGTCTCAGCAAACATTAGCAAATCATCAACCAAATCAAACTAAAGCAGAGTAATTTTCAAATAAACTGACAGACAAGACAAAAAGGCAGTACTGAGCTATACAGGTGCAATCAAACACAGCTGACCTGGAGAGAGAGAGAGGCTTTCATAAGAAGGGCATGAGATGTCTTCAACATTCTTATTCCACATATGTACCAAGTATGGCAAAGAGGACTAATACAGAAATATAACATGTATGCATACTCTACACTTGTTCCAGTGTTAAAGACTGATTGACATACACAGGGGGTTTGAACACAAACCAACTCAAAACCTTAACTGAGAACTTGCAAAGTAACGTGGCTGCACAGAAAATTTCAAGATAAAGTAATTCCAGTTGCACATTAACAAAAGACTTGGGTATTGTAATTTCACTAAATGTAACAGTTGTCATACCACGGTCTTCATTATAATCTTCATGCACTGTCTCCTCTGTTAAAAGAAAAAGAAAATCAATATGAAAACTCATGCAATTTTAAGACAGTAAAGACACGCAAATCTGAGTCGACAGTGTCTAGTTTTTTCAGAACAAAAAAGATATTCAAAACTACAGTATTTTATACTGTAATAAAGTTAATAAGAGTTCAAAGGTGAAGATTTCTAAAACAACCTGTGAGAAGAACTGAATCATTTTCTGGCATCAAAAGACAGACTTAAAAAAAGATAAAGCACTATCAGTAGGCTTTCTGATGTGGTTCATGAAGCCATCTGCAAAGCACCCATAATTCAGAATTGAAAATATTCATAAACCATTTCTATATACAGCTAACTTGCACAGTGTAATGTTGGGACCTACTTATTATGGATTGCTTGCCTTTAAAAAAAAATTTAAAGATACTACTTTCTTCCTGACATCACACTAACTTCAACATCTCTGGCATATCTTAATTCTTTTATCCACAGAAATACTTCTATACAATTTAAAATACCAATATCCATTCTCCAGGAAATTTAATCCTCAAAATATTATTCTGCCCATTTGGCTGACATTACAGAGCAGAATTCATGTCGGACTCAGTATTTCTTCAGAACATAAATAAAAATACAGATGCAATAACTTACTAAGGAACTGGTGCTATCTAAGAGTTTCTATGTTATAGGTGTGGATTTTGGGTTGGTTTTTTTGTGTTTTGACCTGGAGCCAAAATTCAATGAAACTTCAATAAAAAGAAATAAGACTTTGGACTGTACCTGTGTAATGTTCCACAGCATCTTCTAGCATTACCTCAGAGTCACCTTAAATAAAAATATTTAATATTTTATATTCCAATCAAATTTTCATGCAACAGCTAAATAGCCCAAGAGAACTTAAAAAGAAGAAGAATAAGCAAAATGAACATACTGAGTTAATACTACGATATTTTATTTGAAAGTGACAGCTGAATTGTAAAACACACCCAGGAGCTACACCATAACACACAATATAATAAGTTAATGCATATTTGTATTTAGGCTTAAAATTAGGAATCTAAGTATCTTGGACAATCCATTGATTAGATTGGATGACTCCTGACAGAACAAGGTGTTTATGAAAGTCTTGTGGATTGGATTCACGGGCTGTTGTCCTCACAAATATAATGGTAACACCGTAGCCAAAAAAAAATATAATTATGGCAATATATTGGAAGGTGTTGGGTCACTCTGTCTTCTAGTCCTGTTATAACCTCTGTATGAAAACTAGATCCATGAGAGTCATTAGTATCCATCAATATTTGTATTGCTTTTTCTAATATGAATAGAAAATGTAATCTTCCTCTGTCTTCAAAATTCTGAAGTAGGTTCTTTACTAATGTACAGGAGGATCACTGGTGATGTTCTACAGAAAACAAGATATGAGCTGGAAATCAGACCTTGAGAAGTATGTACATTCGCTTCTGGCATCAAAGATTTAGAGGAATTTACTTCTCTTCATTACCTAGCTAAATATGTGGATTATTTTCCTGTATGACTACAATTCTTTGCAATGCTGTTAATATACTCAATTCAGTGTGACACATGTGACAAAACATAGCATTAAAGGTAAAGTAACCTTTTACTTTGGAAGCATCACAGCTTGGATTCTAAACAGATAATTGGAAAGCAGTGATCTCCCACAGTTTGGAACAAAGTTTTATCTGTACCATACAAACAAAACTATATTTCTCTGTCACACGCAGCATCAAACAAGACTGCAAAGTCCAGAACTAACAGTGAGCCAAAGATAAGAAGTCTAGTTCAAACATAAATCAATGGCAAATGTAAATGGAAGAGGCTGTCTGTACTATATACAAACATGGTTAGAATCCCAAAGAAAATACTTAGCAGACAGCAGGGAAACTGTATCCACCTAATGCTTCTTCACAATAGGAAAGATGAGCTAATGCCATTGTACGTGATATCAAGCAGAACATGAAGATGACTATAAACTAATTGGATTAGTCTAGGCAAAATTTCAAAAAGCTTTCAAGATATATTAAGGTGTGCAGAAAGACAGTACAAGGACAGTTCAGAATGATGTCCTTGGCGCTGACTCACTCTCAGAGTGAAGTCAGCCACGAAGAAACACACAGTTCTGAAGGAAAGGTTAAAAATGGGAAGCTTCTGATGCCAAGAATAATAGTCTGAAAGAAGCTTAGTATTGTAGACTGTAAGAAGACAGCAATAAAAAGAAGAAATCTCACTCTCACTTTCATAACTGTGGAACAATAAATCTTTTGTCTACCCAGATCCCAATCATGCACAACAGCCAGAAACACAAAGTAAATATAAAGTTTTTCCACCGATGAAAGCAAAGCCTCCAGACCTGTCATCCAATATTTGTCATAAAGATTTTCAACAGCAAGCATGATACAGTCATCTCAAAGTAAAAATATCCAAGACAATAGCAAGTAGTTATTTGGTGAAAAGCAAAATTCAAATTTAAGTATTCCTACACCAGTCTAACCTTTCCTATTTTTCTTCTTCATACAATTTGTTACATAGAGGCAGAAAACCAGTATTACTGAATTTCAATAAACATAATGATACCTGGAACTTCATATGATTCAGATTCCACTGCTCCAAGATCATCTGCCAAAAGATCAGCATCTGAGGAACAATTAAGTTTGTACAAACTTTAACATTTAAAAATCAATACCTCAAGCCCTCCAGGAGAATATTATGCAAGAGCAGAGCCAAATTTCTAGGCTGAACTATAAGCAAATTTCTTCTAATGCCAGCAAGATACATGTATAGACTGAAAAAAAATTACAATTTTATTCTTATATAGAATATTGATAATGTGTATGTATGAATAAATTGTACATATTTGCTCAAAAAAAGATGACACTTCATAGAAATTTCTGTGTAAATGTGAAGGAAGGAGAACACTCGGCCTTCTTAATAGTAATTGCAAAGATGTAATGGAACTAGAATTTGAATTTCTCCTCTAGTCTCCTACTCTAACTTATGCCATGGATGAATAAAAAGAGATACAGAACAAGAGGTATAATAGACCCAGACTGAAAAGAATTACTTCAGTTTGGAGAAAGAATCTCAGTGTACTTCCAGCAACCAAAACTTTTAGATGACATACATTACATGAGTTTTTCAACAAGAGGTATTAAGAGATATGTAAAATTTTCAGTAATGCAGATAAAAAGCATTCAGAAATTACTTTTCCCAAGTTGGACCTAGATCATATGATTCTGCTTTAATGTTTTGACTACAATTTTTATTATCCTGTCAATGCCCCAAGGCAGCAAGATATGGACATCTTCTTTATATGATGTCTTTGTCTCTGCAGGACTTTAAGTATAATTCATGGAATAACATTCTCTTAGAGAGCTACATTTGAATTAAAGAAGAGTAAGACTCTCTAGAAAAGACTGTGTCAACAAACTCTTAAAATTTAGTTTAATAAACCAAAAAGTCCAGAAGCAGACTCCATACAGGTATTATTAATGGGGGATGAAGGGATTGAGAGCAGCCCTGCTGGTACATGAGAGGCTGGACACGAACACCTCTCCTATGAGAAAAGGCTGAAAGAACTGGGGTTCAGCCAGGAGAACAGAAAGCTCTGGGATGACCTTATTGCAATCTTTTGGTACTTAAGGGGCCTATAAGAAAGCTGAAGAGGAACTCTTTACAAGGGTATGTGCTGATAGGGCAAGGGCTTTGGGTTTAAACTGAAAGAGGGTAGGTTGAGATTGGATATCAAGAAGAAATTCCTTACTGTGAGGGTGGTGAGGCTCTGGAACAGGTTGCCCAGAGAAGCTGTGGATGTCTCATCCCTAGAAGTGTACAAGGGCAGGCTGCAAGGCCTTTTGAGCAACCTGGTCTAGTGAAAGATGTCCCTATGGCTGGGAGGGCTGGAACTAGGCAATCTATAAGGTCCCTTCCAACCCAAACCATTCGGTTGCCCAGCTGTGGATGTCTCATCCCTAGAAGTGTACAAGGGCAGGCTGCAAGGCCTTTTGAGCAACCTGGTCTAGTGAAAGATGTCCCTATGGCTGGGAGGGCTGGAACTAGGCAATCTATAAGGTCCCTTCCAACCCAAACCATTCTATATGATTACAGACATCTCTCTGTTGGGGAGGGATATGCAGATCTGGAGCACAGGTTAATTTTGCTGAAAGCCAATATAGAAGTGTACAAGGGCAGGCTGCAAGGCCTTTTGAGCAACCTGGTCTAGTGAAAGATGTCCCTATGGCTGGGAGGGCTGGAACTAGGCAATCTATAAGGTCCCTTCCAACCCAAACCATTCTATATGATTACAGACATCTCTCTGTTGGGGAGGGATATGCAGATCTGGAGCACAGGTTAATTTTGCTGAAAGCCAATATAGTAGTAATTAAATAATAAAATAAAGCTACCCAGATTACAAAACACATAGCATTAAAATATGCCATGTATTTATTTGATAAATAATGTTTGCTGTGACTGACACCTGCTAAGTCTCTACTGTAAGTAGAAACTACTTTTTAATGAGGCATATTTCCATTTGTCTGGGTTGTTTTTTGGCAAAATTTAATTTTAAATTTATCTAGTCATTTAGATACCTTTCAGAACCGAGTCTGGTGTCTCATACGCTTCTGGAATTTCATTCTCTAATTCTCTGAGCGTGTCATCTGTTGTAGGAGCTTCAAAAGATTCTCCATGTGTTTCTTCCTTCACTTGCCACTGGTCACTTATACTTTCATCTACATCTTCATGTCTCTCTCCTAATCAGTAATACAGCTTGTTAGTGAATACTCACTCTTTGGTATATTCTATTCCCAGCAAATATTCGGTCTTCAGTAGACACTTCACATTTTCCAACTACTCCCAGAGGGGTTGCAGAGGGGGACAGATGACTTGTCTGCGTCTTCCAGCAGTATAATCCTAACTTGCCAGGACCTTCTTTGCCCCCAGTAAAAGACATCTCTGTTCTATCCATTCTTGCAAACTACACAGTACTTTGAGAAACTTTTTGTCAACTGACTGATTTGAGCTATTGCTGCCAAACGCCTCTGGCTAGAAGGCTACAGTTCTAGGGTTTGGTGACTGAACTTTCTGAATTCTATAAAAATACAAATGAGCTGATTAGAATGTTTTGTGCAGGCAAAAGTATTTTAAGTGCACACCAAAACCAGACTCTGAGATTCATCTAGCCTATGGCAGTATTTACAAACTCTTCAGTAATTTCTAAGAGAGAATGCATTACCAGGCTGGGAATGGAGAGCTTCATGAAGAACAGACGGAATTTCCTCTTCCAATTCTATCTCAGCCGTCTTGTGCTCTAAAAGGATTATAAATTGTAGTGAAGTTAAGTGCAAAAGGCAAAGTCTAAACATTAGCTCAAGGTTCACAGCTTTTAGCAAGCTCCATAAAGTCCTTAGAAGTTCCACAGAGACTGACATGGTGAACTTCTGCAACTCACGCAACTACAAAAACAATTTTGTTTTCCTTACTCTCCAATATAGAAAGTATTGCTCAATCACATCAGATTCATTCTGAAGATGAATTGGAAGAATTTATCTACACTGCATTTTCTGCACAAATATTTATCTAAGGGGCAGTTACAAGTATCAAACCAAGAATTCTCTTCTAAGTGATTATTTTGCTAGCACTTTCATCCATTACTTTACAACAATTCAAGCAGGCAGCACTAGCATGGTATATTTGACAACAAAACACCAGTTGCAGAAGTAAGGTCTTGACTTCATAAGCAGGAAAAATAGATACTAACATTACTATATCAAGGTCTTATTCTGCTATGAATTGCCAAGAGAAATCACAAGCTGGTTTCAGTGACAAGCGCTTGTCATCTTATACACCAGCCCAGGACATAACAGGAACGTGTAAGAGATGTTGCCTTCTGATCACACATGCATTTTCAAATAAGGATCCAAAATGGTAGCAGTCACACCAAAACCACAAAAAACCCAACCAGGAAACTATATCTTAACTTGATATATTTCATAAATGATACATGCTTCACATTTGTGGATTTATGTGTTAGGTTCACAAAAGTATCATATGGCATAAGACTCTTTAAGGCACAGGAAAAAATACATGTTCTCTGAATATGACTAAAATGCAAATCACATACCTGAAATGTGACATGTAAAAATATTTTTTCTTGAATCCCTCTTAAACCTAATACATTTTACTAGTACTATGGGGCTTTTAAAATGTTTAATTTTTTTTTCAACAGCAGAAGTTCTATTTATTGCACTTATGATATACTATTGGGTTTAGTGGAAAAAAGAATATTTGATCACCTTATGAAGTTGGTTGTTGGGAATTTTGTTGCTTGCGGGTTTTTTTTAGGATGGACAATCTGCTGTTATCCTGACTGGATATACAGTTGCAAATTTTCCTAAACCACAACTGCATTGCTTCGGAAAGTTATTCTGATGTGACATCGCTTCAGTGGTAACCATGGGAGCCAACAAGAGCATCTTCTATACCATAAAATTTTACACCTTTCATGGTCAGTGATTTATACAAAGTTATCAACAGTGATTCCTGTTAAATAAACTGTACTAGATAAGCAACAAATAAAATCTATGAAAACGTTTGCATGCTAAGGAAACAGAAATATAATTCAAATCATGTCTTTTGTTTCACCTCTGGTTCAGGAAAGGCCTTACCTGATTCAACATAGGACTTCTCAGCAGGCTGGACAGTCTCCTCAGCTTCTTGTGATGCTGGCTGTGCTGGGACAGATCTTTCTTTAAGGCCTGCATTTTTCAGTTATAAAGTTAACTTTATGCTCCTTTTGATCTGATTCAGTTATAGACTAAGAAAGTTGTTTCAATTAAATTAGCTGACATTATACTCTCCAAAAAGGGACTCAAACAATCACAATTACAGGGCTGTCATGATATTCAGTGGAATATACAAAGACTAAAGTGTATTCAGATAATAGACAAATAAGTTTGGAAGACAAACACACAAAGAAGAGGAAGAAAGGGACAGAAATTTAAGCACTTGCTTTTATTTCAAAGTAACTGAACAAACGATTATGGTATAACTCAACATCTATTCAGTATCCAGTAGAAAAATAGGCAGATTTTTTTTTCTTTCTTTTTAATTTGGGCAAAAAGTGCTTCATATGATCAATTTTATAGGCTTTATGAAGAATTAATCTGAACTTTGTAAAAAGCTACGCAGAATGAGAAGATGTACTTTAAATTAATATGTTACATCTTACAAGATCTGACAAAGAGAACTGTAGTTTCTTTTGACAACTAAATGACTACATAAAAACTATGACTGATGGAGTTTCACCACTAAGATGCTTACTATCTATACCACAGATTCCTTCTAGATCAAAACACAATGAAAACAAAGCCACCAATAACTGCAATGGCCAACACCATTGTAAGAGATAAGGTAACTCATAGCTGTGATAGATTATGCCACATCTTAAGACACTAAGCTCAATAATGTATTGGTATTAGACTAATTCTCCTCTCAACTCTCCTTCAGGAAGGTCAAGCAAGACCTTTACAAAGGTTTGGACTGGGTATAAAAAAACCCACCAACTTAGACACAAACATACATCCACCCACTACTCCATTCCCACCCCTCTCCATGGGGGCAGCCAAGTCAGTGGAAAAGGCCACACAGAGAGGCTGTGCCTTCCCATTCTTGGGGTTTTTAAAGATCACACTGGATAGTGGCCAGAGTAAGCTGGTCATTCCTCTGAAACAATCCAGTTTGAGCAGGATGTTGGAATGAGTATCTCCTAAAGTCCCTTCCAAATGGCATTCTCATATAATATTACACCATTTTTCCTAGGTTCATATTTCAGCATTAAGTTCCAAGATCAATGAAGATAAGACTACCTTCTTAAATAAATAAACACACACAGCTCCAAACATACTAGTTTTCCAAGAGCTGTGGACAGAAAACAATAGAAAAATAATAACTAAGAGGTTACACAACAATGAACAGTCCTGTACTGCTACAAATCTTGCAACTCTAAGTGGAATAACATAAATCTTTCAAGTCAGTAAAATTGCAAAAAAACCCAAAACCACATTTCTATCAGAGTCAAACATATCCCAATACAAAGAGGACTAATATGTCTCAAACCAGACTAGAGAAATTTTATTTTACGCAATATTAGCAAAACATATATTTATTTCAAGTAACGGGAACAGAAATAACAGAAATAATCTTTTTATATTATTTAAACGACCTGAAGATAAGTAGCTAGACCGTATCCGAAAGTACTAAGAGTCCACTAGTATGGAGTCAAAATCAGAAGCTAGAAGAAAAAAAGCCAAATTTACACCTAATTTTTTGCCAATTTCCTTATGTGTCAATTAAAAAACCAAACCAAAACATTAAAAAATATGATTAAGGCATTCATCGTTTCCTACAGCAATATTAATGGCTAAAAGGATAAGAAGTTACTTCCATCTATCATCATTTTTGGATGGAGACAAAAGCAGTTACTTATGTTAGCCCGTCTCACACTTCAGAGTCTGGAAGCATTCAAACAGCAACGCTGCCTTCCCAAACAGTTCACTTCCCTAACCCACATCTCCAATTCCAGACAACTTTGCTTCATGAGCAATAAATGGATTCAAAGTATTTCAGAAGAGAGCTGCATTTCATACCCAACAAGCACTACAGGTATTTAAGAGGAAGGAAGGGACTAGCAAGACTATGTCTTGTTTTGCTTGTGCATTTCTCAACTTGACTTTCAAGCTTTTTATACATATCTACTGCATTTATCACGGATTTCTATTCAATCCTGTTGAGTATGTAATATGTTAGGTCATTTACTTCTTATAAGATACTATTTTCTCTCTTCATTAAAATTAAGTCGCACTCGGTTTTTGCTTTTGTGGTGCATTTTTTGTGCTTATGTGGTAACTTGCTGCATTAAGTCTAATGACAATAATATTTCATAGAGATATACAACACCACAATGGATCTCTGGGGCAAAAATATCATTTTATTGTGTGGCTATCTGTATAGCCTGGAGTGCTGCTCAAATAAAGTGTTCTTTGGAAAGAAAAAAAGAAAATACAACCCAACTTTTTAAGAACCAGATAATCTTTGGGTCACAGATACAATAATATGTTAATTAGAAAAGGAACTCATTCCAAATTTCACTCGCAAACAGTTACAACTTTTGCCACATAAGGGGAGAAAATAAAGTGATGTGCACTATACCACTGTGCCACCATCCTTGAGAAGTGTGATTTGAATGCTCCTCTGGTCAAATATGTATCAACACTTATCAGAGCAAAGCTGAAGAAACACGTCTATCATCATCAAAACCTAAAAGAGAATGCTCATTATGCAAGTACATTTATTAGATCTTCATTCTGTCATGTTTTTTGCTAAGCACTCCAATGTTCACAACACACATCTCTTCCCTCCCTCTTCATGCATTCATAAATATTTAGAAAATAGCTTGGTATATCATCTCTGTTAATTATCACAGCTAGAACCTTAAGTTACAGTACTATTTTTTTCTACAGCTTTAATTTGAACTATTTTTCATAGCTATTTGAACTACATTTCCTATAAAATAATGATCAGATCATCTTTTACCTCATTATCACATCTTATGCCTCTAGGGATCAAAGTATGTTACTGACACATATATCAAACGGCTGAGATAAATGTATTGCCAACTGTTACACACAAAATTTTACCAAAGTCACAACTGGAATTAACCATCAAGACTTTGATCTTGCATTATCGTGCACACTGAACTCATGTTCAACATCACTCATTAGTTTTGTTTTCTTTAAACTAATACTGCAGTATCACAAGAATAAATATTAAACTTACATTATAAATTTTGTTGTGAATCCTTTGTAATTATATTGTGCAATTGCTTGCAATACACTTGCTTTGAAGTTTACTTAGAAAACATTAATTTCCAAATAAACTTGAAAGCAATAGATTCAATAACATCCTGAAATATCTCTAATATCTCTGCAAAAATGTTTTGCAACCTTGTTTATTCTAATGAGACTAATGGATAAATCCTTCCTTGGTGCTAAAATTACACAAGCGGTAAGAGCAAACTAACACAGGATCTTGCTTACAGAATTATCATGCACTTGAAAAGTGTTGAAGAAAACAATAGCTGCAAAAATAAATAACCTGTTCTTTAATTAAGTTCAACCAGAATAGATGATTAGTAGCATATCACTTCTTAAAATATGATTAGAATTCAAAAACACTTATCAGTGGTGAAATAGGTGGCCTAATTTACAATAGTATTCATTACCAGAAGCCTGGAAAACTCGGAAAAATCAGGATACAGTTAACTGAAAAGTGACAATGAATCAAGTTTTCCAACCTAAATATAGCTAACTAACTAACTAAATAAATAGAGGACAGAAGAAAATCAAAACATATTGTCACAGGATAAATAGACAAAAATGTTGCAACATTTTGGTGGAGTATACGCTAGAGTCTCAAATAAATGCAACACTAAAATTCATTTGAGTATTTGTATATAAAGTAGTTTTCCTAGAGACAAAATAGTTTACTGAGGGGAAAAAAGTTTAGCAGGGAATAATTTACATTTATTTGCTTAGCTCCTATGACAATACAGTCCATTAATGCTCCTCTTAGTTGTTTCTGTGAAATAGAAATATTTTGTATATGAGTTTCCACTATATGTATCCAGATAATCATCTTAATATTGCTTTTGAACTTTTATTTCATATATAACATTAAACTTGCAACCCCACATCAAGAAAACAGGATCTAAATACAAGGAAACAAAGAAAGGAAGGGAGAAAAAAACATCCACCAAAAACCCAAACCCATATTTAGAGCACACTTGAAGTAACTGGCATCAGTTTGACATGTGAATGTTTCCCATACACACTGGCAGCCAGTCATATTAACATATGCACATACTTGAGTTTCACAGCAGACCTTTTTGCTTTGTGTTTACAATACCAGCACACACTGAACAGTTTTCAAAAAATGATCATGTATGGCCTTTGTTCACATTTATTTCCTGAAAATGTTATTTTCTTATTGCTGTATTTACCACATTCACATAAATAGGCTGAATTTCTCATTCTTGAGGTCTGCTCCTCATTAGCAGAACAGGAGCTCTGTTTATTTCTTTTCTTTCTTGTCTTCCTTGGACTGGTTTTTAACTATCTTTTTTGCTTCCTTGTCTCGTCCCACCTGAATAGTACCATCCTTTTCACTGGCTGATTTTTTTGTAGTCTCCTTCGATTTTACACTTTTGTCTAGGCCTTTTTCCTTTCCTCTGTCTCTTTTAGCTTTGTCAGAATCTTTCTTTAATTTATTCACATCAACCGCTTTCTTGTCCTTTCGATCGGTAGCATCTTTTCCTTTCCTGGCTCTCTTTCTTTCTTCTCCATCTTTTATTTCATCCTTCTTGGATTCCTGCTTCCCCCTTAATTTCTTGAGTGGTTCTTTAATAGCTTCTTTTACTTTTTAGTTTTTCATTTAAAAAAGAGGAAATGTTCAATAAGAGAACCATTCTTACATCATAAAACATTTTATGAACAACTATCTAAAAGCTCTGATCAAATTCTTAATGTTTGTTAGATGCCAGTTTAAACCTGTATAATTAACTTCTAAGCTTTAAGCAATTTAAACAAATTAGTTTTGACTTTCAGCAGTATCTCACACCATGCAGCCAACCAAGAACCTTCGCTTGTACTGCAGCTGCATTCGAAGGAAGCATTAATCTAGTGAAAACCATGCCCCTGTT